GGCCGCGGCGGCGGGGAGCGGCCGGGCGGCGGGCGCGCCCGCTTTGTCCCGCCTCCTCGTCTGAAGAGCCTCTCCGGCGCCGCCCGGCCGGCCGCCCGCGCGGCCGGTCTGTTTACGCGCGCCCCTCTCCGCTTCCGTCACCCGTTATCTGCGGGTCGGCCGGCTTTCTCTCTCCATCAGGGCCGTATCATCTTTCTGTCGGCCGGCGGCTCGTCTCTCCGCGCCCCCCGCCGCGCGCCGCGCGCCGCCGGAAGCGCCCCGGGCGGGCCGCCGATTCGGGTCTTTTTGTCGTGATTTGTCTCGGGCGCGTAACGGGTTGCGAGGACGCGGCGCCGGGCGGCGGGCGGCGGCCGAGCGTGTCCGCGCCGCTTTCACCAGCGCAGCCGCGACGGCGGACCACACAGAGGGACCACCGGCGCGGCCGACCGGACCGCCGCCGCCGGCGGACCGGACCGGCTCCTCCGGGATCGCAGCGGCGATCGCCGCTCGGACCGCGGCCCGCCGGCGTCTGGCGGGTCCCGCGCGGTCAGCCGCCGCCGGGGCAGGCGCGGTGCGCGGCGCCAGCTGACCCGGTTGCGGGCCGACATCGGCGCCGCACGGAGACGGCATCGGCGCCGCACGGAGACGGCATCGGCGCCGCACGGAGACGGCATCGGCGCCGCACAGAGATGGCATCGGCGCCGCGCGGAGATGGCATCGGCGCTGCACGGAGATGGCATCGGCACCCATGCCGCCGCACGGAGATGGCATCGGCGCCGGTGTGTCGCAGGACTGCGGACAGGCGACAGGCGCAGCCGGCTCGGGCACCGCCGTCAGGCGGATCAGAGCCGGCTCGGGCGCTGCGGTCGGGCGGATCGGAGCCGGCTCGGGCGCTGCAGTCGGGCGGATCGGAGCCGGCTCGGGCGCTGCCGTCAGGCGGATCGGAGCCGGCTCGGGCGCTGCCGTCAGGCGGATCGGAGCCGGCTCGGAAGACGGCATTCGAGTCGGCAGATCGTGTCCCATCACGTCCGACCAGCTCGGTCGTCGCCACCGTCTGCCGCCGCACGCGTGTATGACATCGGACACGCAGCCCGCTGGCGCAGGCCGCCCGCATCTGATCATCGCCGGCCCGGTGTGTGGCCTCGTCGCGTGAGAGGCTCGATAGCGCCACGTGATGGGCGGTATTCCTCCGCCGGTGGTCCGCGCCGCGTCGAAGGACGGCGTCAGCCGATCGGTCTCTCTCTCTCTCTCTCTCTCTCTCTCTCTCTCTCTCTCTCTCTCTCTCTCTCTCTCTCTCTCTCTCTCTCTCTCTCTCTCTCTCCTCTCTCTCTCTCTCTCTCTCTCTCTCCTCTCTCTCTCTCCTCGCTCTCGCTCTCGCGCTATCGCTCTCGGCTTCTCGCTCTCGCTCTTCGCTCTCGCTCTCGCTCTCGCTCTCGCTCTCACCCTCTCACTTTCTCGCCTTCTCTTTCTAACCCCTCTCTCCCGTGCTCCGTCCCCTCCTCTTATGAATACAGCCGCCGGCGCGAGCGAGGCGGTCTCTCGCCTCACCGGCCGTCTATTAGGCGAAGCGGCGCACTTGCCGAGCCTTGTACGGTGGTCTCGTGCCGCGCAGGGGCGGCCGCCG